TAGGGTATATTATGGCAATTCGAAACATATAGATAAATGTTTTTATGGCACATGCAATTCAATATGTATAAAAAATAAAATTAATAAACAATAACTAAAAAAGAACAATAAAAGAATTTTAATCTTTATTCTAAATATTTTATTTAGATGAGAAAAAATATTTGGCACAAGCTTTAAAAAAAGCAATAATTGCTGTTAAAAAAAGAAAATTTTCATTGATCATTTTATTTTTAAACTTTGCATTCTTTTATTTAAAAATAGATTTAAATATATCGTAATTCTGAAGTGTCTATATTCATCTATATAGCAGTATATTCATCTAGTTGATTCATATTTGGAGCTCGAAAACAGAAATAGATCATTGCTGTAATTTCATTATTTACATTACAAATTAGATGTACTATTTTCAAAAATGAAATAACGCTTTCAAAAACGATAAAATATTTCGAGACTTAATTTGTGACTAGTAGACCCAAGGTCTAGTTTGCTAATCATTTATATTATTTTATTTAACTGAAATTAAATTTAATAAGTTATATTTATAAAACATTTTTTACTTTAACTAATTACACTTATTAAATATTTTAGTTTCACAGCTATCTGGAAAAAATATAAATTTTTATTCTTATAGTGATTCACGACTGGTATCTTTACCCTACGAGAGAATCGCGCCTTTTTAATCGAAAGTTTTTCCCAAGACAACTCAAAATCCCATGTTCCTTTTTTTTTTTCGATACAAAAACGTTATGAGAAGCACAAACAAAAGGAATATAGGAGCAAATAATTATATGTTTGTATCTAAACGCACCAATGCATTAGGTGGACGAAGCTTCTATGTTGCGCTTGTGGACACGTGGAAACGCGAATGGAGAACTCTCACGAGGCGGCGGCCGCCTTTTTTTCTCACCTGAAACGCATTATGAGACGTGGGGAGGGAACTTAATTCATAACTCGACTCACGACTACGAGTTTCCCCGCGGCTTGATTGTCATGCACGATCTCGCGACTAGAACGTGGCGCAAGCAAGCGAAGCAAGCCCGCAGTCGTAATTAGTACACGCGCGTTTACATGCGCAGCTTATGAGCTCGCGCGCGCCTTATTGTCGCCGCTATGATGTTGAAACAGAATCGATCGTCGCGATATCGCGTCAGTGAGTCACTTCGACGAAAATCTATCTCGCAATCGAACACGGATTTTCTATTTTTACCGTGCAAAGCATGCCACCAAATATAATATCGGAAAATATATCGATTCTATTAAACGCGATCTATTTATGCGGAAGACGTTTTCCCGATCGTCAGAAATTCTCTAGAGACCCTCACGCGATCGTAGATTAGAATTTGACAGGCGCAACGGTCGTGGATGAACAATTTATACATGCGAAATGTGCACCGAAATGTGCATGACGCATTCGCTGTGTGTAATACATTATTCTTGCGCGATGTATACCTATTCATTATCGTCGGCGGGTATATTTCGCACGCGACGAAAGACATTACGTTTTCACTAGGCGAATCTCGCGTGATGCGTTATGTGGAGCGACGTAATTATTAGCGGCAGATTTATAATAAATAGCGAGTGATTTCATAACTTGGGCTAAATGACATTGGAAAGTGAAGACTCGCGTATCTCGAGACTCTCATATAACTCACGAGTTTAAATATCAAGCTTTTTAATAATTTTTAATAATTAAAAATGTACAGTCAGCATCTCTCCCTCTCCCGCATTAAAATTTTATTTCTAGTTTTGATCTTAGCTTTAAAAATTTATAGATCCTAGAGGATTGCGATAGAAGTGTATTTTATATAAATTGCTCTTATTTTACTTATTTGTCTGAAATAAGTAAATAAATGAAATAAATAAATGAACAATTTCCTTATTTTTAAAGAGGAATTATCTTTAATAGAATTTTATAATTCTAAATAGGGGCTGTAGATATTAAGTTATATAAAAAGAAATCTATTTTACTATTTACAGTATCAAAACAGTAAAAATCTTAATTGAGATTAAAACTATGAGAAAAATTTTAAGGTGGATTATCTATTATCAACTATTGCTCTGCCGAGTCTTTTGTTCCTCAAAGGACCAGCGCATTCTTGTATAATGCCGTGGATGTTATTATCACGAGATAGGTACAAAGATAGGTAAATAATGCAAATTGAATAATCAGAATATATATACGATCAGTCTTCTTCTATCTCGGCAAATGTTTTCATGAAAGTTGATTCCGTTCGCGTTTTGCGCGCAAACGCAGCTCGCGCGAGGGTTTTGTCAAACGAAGCGACGCGAACGGGATAGATGGGACATTCGTTGTCGTGCACATCGGGAAAAATTCGTATTACGTATTACGTCGCGTATGCTTTTAACGCCACGGTTTACGGTACGGTGCGGCGCACTTGGAACGCGCGATTTTTTTAATCGGACGGCGCGGCTCAAAAGTCGCGCTCAACAGCGACGCGTTACAACGCGCGCTGTCGCGAGCTATCGCGAGATGAGAATGCAAATTATCGCGTGCGATTTGCGCGACGACAACGCGACTGCCGTCCCGAGAGATTTATAAACGTTGCCGTGTGTGCTGGAAGTCGTCGATAGAAGTCGAAAATTGCGTCTCGCAGTCTCCGTCACGCGCGTCGCTTGATTAATTATCGTCCGTTCCTACGATCGTCGCACGCGAACGCACGAATCTTAATCATCTACTTAATCATCCTTAAAGGGAACGAAGTTGAGAGACCGAGAGAAATCCTTGAACGGTGTTTCGTTATCTAGATCGTCCGAGCAAACAGCTCGAGGTGGAACGCCTTTCGAAACAATCATGGGACGATGAATCTCCCTGGTTTTTCCGGAGGGAACTGCTGCTGGATGTGCTGGACCTCGGCGGCGCCGAGATAAATCCCGTCAAAATAACCGGGGAATCTTTATTTTTTTTCCGATTTTTTTCCGATATAATAAATTATTTTTTTTTCATCGGAGTCTCTACGGTGGAAGTATATCTCGAATGAAAAGTTTATTTAAAGCTCAGGTACTATAATACTTGGATAGAGGCAGCTGTCGTTCTGTCATTAATTTTCTCCATTTCATTCGAAGTTCAATGGGGATATCGCTGGATTCGTCGTTGAGTTTTGTCGTACGAGCAGATCCGCGACGTGCTCGCGAAACTCGGAGGGAGAAAAATTCTTCCTTATTCGCCTTTGGAGAGGGATGTACGAGCGGTAATTGAGACGATGTCCGGTGGGGGTTTGTTTTCAGAAAAACCCGCCGTGTTACTTCCATTCTCTCCCACCCGTCGACTTGTTCCGGCCTTAGCCCCTACACGGGAAAGAATGCCCCCTAGTTTTCCTTTTGCTATCCTTTTGCGTCGGTCGTTCGATCGATGTCGTGTCCAAGGGATGATAAAAATAAAGGGGACGAGATGCGGAGACAGGAAGAGACAGAGAGAGAGAGAGAGAGGACGAGGGAAAGAGCGTAAAACCACGCATTGCCTTCGCTAACCAGCCGATTTTTTGCGACACGCGCAACCGCGTGCGGTTATTGCTTTTTAGCGCATGAAACGTTTTATTGTCCATTATACTGGGGTATTGAGGGATGAGAGAGTACGTAGATAATAGATCGAGAGAGGGAAGAAAGGGGGATGCCCATTTCCGTCGCGAAATAAATGGAAATAAAAGTGACGAAGAAAACGTGACCAACTGATGCTCGTGGCTCGAGCTTCTGAATCATCTCCGTTTATCATTATCAATAATTAATATTTAATCGGCCATGAAATATTAAAAAAGAAAAATACGAAATAGAAATATTTTCAACTTGTAATCTTCTTATCCACGACGGTACGTTACGTACAATATATGACAGTATACAATATATACAGACTGTCAAAATTGCTATCTTCACAAAGATAACTGTTCACGAAATGAGCAAGAGAGAGAACCAATCAACATTGCGGAAAAACAATTAATTTCGACATGTTCGAATATTGATTTAATATACTTTTGTTAAGAAATAGGCTAGCGAATAGGAATAATTATTTATATGTAGATGAAAGAGGGGTATGCCGGAAGTGCAAACGAACCATCCGGGCATCTCTTCCTGATCTGTAACTCGAACTTCTTCGAATCGTTACTCGCGGGGAGAGTCGGCGCGATGTTTAATCTGATAAATCAGCCATGGAGAACTTTAGCGTCTTCGCGGCGCTACGTTAATTATGCTACGTAAATAGTCAAAGGATGGTTTGGAAGGAAGCGGATATCGATGCAATTTGCTCAAATGGGAGAGGGTGGATGGAAGCAAATTAAGTTCATCTGAGGAAAACGCATCTGCGGATCGTCTGCGAATCGGTTTACAATTTATGCGCGTTTAATTAGAGAAGACCGATGACCTTCGCAAGCGTCTTCGACGTTCTCCATTCACTCTCTACGCTATAATAATTCACGCCCCAAGAGAATCACGCACTCGTGGAGGCCGATTCGAGTGAGCCCGTGAAACGAATAAAGATAAAAAAAAGGAAAAAGAATAAAACACGCAGAAGAGTAGAGCCTGATGAAGAATAAGCAACGAAAGTTCTCTCTCGCTTTTGATTTACACTCCAAACTTTTTCCTTTCCCGTTCCTTCCTAGCTTCTGCGAAGACACCATTGGTTTTCGCCGCGGAGACTCACCTGAGACGATGGTCAAGAGAAACGCTGCACTCGCGATGGCAATCGTCACGCAGAGGAGCCTCATATTATATATATATATCCCTCTTCTCCTCCGCTCGTCCGCTTCTACCCTCTTCCCCTTCGCCCACGACCTGCACCTCCGTGTTGGCACTTAAGGGAGAGCCTACGGTCGCATCGTCGATTCGCTTCGCGGCGGGACCGACCGACACGGAGACGCGATTGGTACTCGCGTCGGCAAACGGAACGGACGACTATCTTTGCGGTCGAGTATGCGACCGGTCGCTCGGTACGTGAAAGACTGAGGAAAGGCTCGTGGCCAAGCGTTATTAGCCTCGTACTGCGGCCCACTCGTGTGCCACGGGGCCTCTCTCTCCCTGCCGTTCCATTCTGCGCTCCGACGAGAGAGGAACCCGAAGATTCTTTCTTTCCCTCTGCGGAGGAATCCTCCTCGAGGCGAGAGATCGGCGCGAGCCGACCTTCTGCCATCGAGTTACCGCGATACCGATCGGCAGTAACGATATTTCGTCCTCGCGCTCGCGGAATTTACAAGGAGACACACCGTCGTATGAAAACATCCTCGTCCGACAAGCGAACCTTTCTTCCCGCGGATTCCCCGTCCGCGTAGGACGAAATACGAAACACACGCGAATGGAAATGCATGAATAAAATTGTTTTAATAAAATACACGTCTCGACTTCACATTACGAAAGTATTACGAATTGACGGATTTCAAAGTAAATATTCATTTACATGATGCCGTGCCACCTTTGGCTACCGTGATAACTTTCTGGTTAAATAATAATTCAATAATTCCCGGGAGCGAGAGCCATGAAGCGATATAGCAATAGTGCATAATGTTGTACACTTTGTTGATCCCACCGATTTATTCTGCGAGGACGAAATGGCGGCGACCCGAGAGTTTGCTGAGGCAACACGGCGAATTTTTCTCGCGAACTTGAATCGGAACTCGCGAGAAAAGTGATACCTCACAAGAGCAGGCGCTCTTTCGCGATTCCGACGCGCTCGCGCAATAATAATATTTTTCCATGTCGAGCCATTTGTACGAATAGACATGCATATATTATCAGCGAGTTGTATTATCGCTGATTGTTCTCCATATATCGCGTCATTTTTTTGGAATTCCATTTCTTGCTCCCTAAAGTGAAATTACTCGTTACTTTACATTTATAATGAAAACTTGTTGCATTCTTTTTAATTTAGTCTTTTATCTCGTAAATTCACATTCTTTATCTTCATTCGTTGTTCTAAATAGTTTACGAATCCATAACATAAATTATATTTACATATTTCTACTTTATCTCAGATAATTCCGAATCGAAGTTTTTCTTCTACTTTCGACACTCATTCAGAATTTTTATTTTGATACTTCAACTAATTAGATTAACTTCTTTTGATATTATTTCTTTCTAGGACTGTGTTAATTTTAATCTTACCCTAGCACAACTATAAAGAAAAAAGCAGGAAATTAAAAAATGAATATATATTTTTGTAATGCTATTTTTTTGCTAATTAGTTACTCTAGTTTCGATTTTTTCGTATTTGTATTTGTAGATTTGATTGTGCGGTACTCTGATAATATTATTTCGTAAAAATATTAAATTTCTAATATATTTTGCGCTATGATGGAACAGCAAATTAATAATAAATTCTGGTATAGTTGTTTTTTTACACGATATATATTTTTTTATTATAGGGGTCTAGCTTATTGACAAGGCCCTCCTAACTTTGAACGCGATTTTCTGCTAAACGGCTGGAGCAACAAAATTCAAACTAGAGCAACAAATTAACAACAAATTAGCACATAAATAGCACATAAATAAATTTTGTGATGGGTGTAAACTCGATTTGCGATGATGGGAGATTTTCCAGCTTAATAAAGGCTTCTTAAAATCAAGTTGAATTAAAATTTCGATTCGGAAAATCACAATATAACGATAATAATATTAATCGGTTATATATTTGATATTCTTTCAGAAAATAAAATCAATAGTAACATATAACAAGATACAAAACAATGAAAAACTGGAAGCAACAATCACTGAACATTTTGCACATCTTCACGGCGTTCTCCAAAACACGGAAGCGAAATTGATGAAACAATTACATGAGCAACGCGATTATCTCAAGAATAATTTAGACGACATCAAAGTACAACTACAAACACAGGAGGAAAAATTGAAGTTGACATTGCAGGTACGTTTCTCAAAAATATAAAATAATTGAAACTGGAAAATTATTTGCTACTTTCTCCAATGGAAATCAGTGCATTTATGTTAACAAGTTTCAAACAATTAATTAGTAATTTGCCTTTCTTCGATCACTCCTAATTAATTTTAACTTTCCAAAATTAAGCGAAAAAATATGAGATGATTTTAAAAATAATTAGATAATTGATAGGCAGAATGGAAGAGGATCGAACGGAAGCATTTTAATTAAATTCAGCTCGCCCTCTCAGAATTATATAATGTAGAAATATGTTCGTAGAAATCAATGATTTTATTTGCAGTAGTAGGTAGCTCCAATTCTGACTACTTTGACGCCAAAACTGTCTCGTCAGCATATTTATATTCTTTTCGTGACTTTTTCGCTTGTCTCAATGACTATTTCTTCATCAGTCATCTGATGATATTGCTATTGGACGGTTCCGAGAGTATGACCATAACGTATCTTAGCGAGTAGTTCTCGTTAGAATTCGTTGAATATTCGTTCTTATCATACTTAATGAATATTTCAGTTTGTAATAAATTTGTGACATAAAATTCTTATCAAATTTCATAACAATATTTCCTGGGAAAAAAGAAATATTTAACATGTTCCGTATCGCACTAATTTTATATAATTTCTCATCCACACTGAATAATCCACGCGGTATATTCATTTGTTAAATAAAATGTATTCCATAATAATGAAAATGCTACAAAAATTATTAATTAAGAGAAAAGCCCAAAGTATATATTGCAATACTGCGATATATATTATAATTCTGTGCCGTCAAGTGATATTAAGAAATATCACATAATTTTTTTTATAGCTAAAATATTAAGAGGTTTGCATGAAAAGTCTCGTGGATCATTGGTAACATATTATAACATGGAACATGTTATTGTAGGCTTATTCTTTTTAACTGAATTCGCACCGTTCATCTTTTTTTTTTCACCTCTCCACGTTAGAGAAAAAAAGAGACAGAATAAATAAAAAGTTCAGTTAAAAAGAACAGGTTTTATATAACAGTTGAAAAATCGAATTTGATAACATTTGTTTACAGATTGCCTCTCATGCAAAAGAGATTTATCATAAAGTGGACATACGAAACGCGATAAACATCCTGAAAGAGATGACAGATCTTCCTTGCCACTTGATGTACAAGGATATGAATCAGGTCTACGAACCAGAGTAAGTAATGAAAAGCAAAGCTAATTAGAGAAGCTATTTATATGGCGAGCGTTAAAACGTGCTAAATTCTTTTGCTGACTCGCATATGTGACATATCTCGTCATTCTTTCACCAAATCGAATTATCTCTTTATTAATACAAGAAAAGTAAAATAGCCAAGATGAGCAAAGAAGATGTAAATTAAAATTACTTTAATATATAAAAAAGTTAAGAATTTTTGAATTTTTCAGATGGACAATTTTTATCCTTTTTATCTATTTTATTTATCTATTTATCATTATTGTATTTTATTATTTTAATATCAATGACTTATAAATTTTGTTATGGTTTTTGATATAAATTTAAAAAGTTTTTTAGTTTGTTTTAAATTTATTTATATCTTTGTATATTATTTATGTGATTTATTACGACAATTGAAAAAGAAATAAGTAGAAATGTTTTGTTTCCACTTTAACTTCCTTATAAATAAATTTAATTTATAACTGTTTTGCTCATTCTTGTCCTGTTCTATTTTTTCCTATATTGTTTTCCAATGTGAGTCATTTTCTAATTTTTTTATTAATATTTTTTATTAACATTTTATTCTAATTTTATTATTTATATCGAATTTATGTCAAAGATACAAATTATTTTTACAATACATACGATCGCACGAAACGCAAGCGACTATCCGAATAATCTTATTTGTTAGTGCAATAAAGCGTTTTTTCAACAGATTTACTGCTGACCATTCCATTGTTGCAACTATAGAAGATCATTGTACAATCAAAATACCATCAATGTCATTTTATAGCCTTGTGCGAAGAGACGAACTACCAAAGAATTATATATTGTCGCCCTTACCGAAGAAACGTTTATGTGAGAATTTGAATTTTATTGCGATTTGAATGATTTCTTCAAAAATGGCACCTTCAAATTTGTCACGCTTTATAATTTTCTCTAATAAATCAAGCTAATATTTTTAATAGATTATTTTGAAGAAATCTTTTGCTTATTTCATGTAATTCTGTGAAATCAACAAACATTAAATGATCATGAAATGTTGTTAACAGCGATTTTGAAGAAACCATCATCGAAAGTATTGGCAATACAACCAAATAATTCGTTGTCAGCGACACCGATCAAGACGGAAGATAAGGCGCAAAAAAGTGAGCTAATTTGTTTATTAATCTTTATTTCTCAACTTAACTCTTTTTCTTTTTAAGGCATTTCTGATTGTAAGGTGGAGGTGTCGTACTTTGTTAATCCATCATACTTCTTCGTCCGAAAAGTGGCCACGAAAGCGGAATTTCTGCAACTGGAGGAAGACCTAACAACATACGGCAACAACGAGCAGAATCTAGAGATGCCGATTAATATTAAGCACGGTATAAACGCATAATCTTAGTCGCTCACTCGACTCATTACTCGCGAGTGCATCTTTTTTATCCTGCTTATCATTTTACAGGTGATATATGTCTCGTCAAACATAGGGCAACTACAGAATGGTACCGAGGACGTGTAAAAGCAGTGTATACGAATGAGAATGACGAAACATTGTACAATGTGATTTATATAGATTATGGTCATGAGGATTGTAATGTGATAACTTCGAGAGTACGAGAAATCCCTGAGCATCTAAACGTATTGCCACCACAGGCGATTCGATGCAGTTTACATGGCTTAATACCCAAAAGTGCTCATTGGACGAGTGCGAGCACGAATACTTTTCTAAAACTGACAAACGGAGCGTAAGCTTACTAAGTCTATAACCTTATTGTCTTTTTATTCTGTGTATACTTGAGACAAACATGTCTCCTTTAACCATTCGGAAAAATGTTATACGTTTCAGCGATTGCAGAATGTCTGTCATCGAATCCACGCCTGACATTCTCTACATAGATCTTTGCATTATCCCGAGAAATAATATGGGTCCGCAATCGATGTATAGTATTATGAAAGTGATGGATTATGCGCGTTTGGACGTTGAACACAGTTCGGTGAGTAATTTTAGAATCGTCAATAATAACTACACAAATAGTTAGAATCATTACCTATTATAATTCTAGTAAACAATTTATAATATGTCAACAAATTGGTTTATTGGCCAACAAATTTATTTAGAATTTTGCAATAAATTCTGTATTACCTATGTCCATAGCGAATTTGTATTTTGTCAGCAGAAATCGAATAAAATCTATAAATATATCTATAAATAATTCTAAATATTTAAAAGAAATAAATTAATCAAATGATATAAAATAACACATCCTGCTTGATTTCTACAATCAATTAATATTTTATTAGATTTCTGAAAAAATTTATAGCAGACACTTTGTAAAATCTGTTCTAATAGATTTGGCTATCAGATATTTTTCTGCTTTTAAAAATTATATGCTGACAGTCGAATTTTCAATCTAACTTTTAAAACTTTCTCTTGAGAAATCAAATAATCGTGCTTTATTAAATCGATTATGATAAATTTTATTCTTTTTATTTTATTGCATGTTTATATGCAATGTTTTGAATTAATTGCATTTTCTAATACAAGTTTTTTAGCAATCTTTCTCTCAAACACAAACAGTAGAATGGGAGTGAATGATAAATTTATAAGTTACAAAAATCGAACGAAGTGCAATTAATGCTGAATTGTATCAAGAAGATCTCAATGTCGTTATCTCGTCTCTTTTAATTTATATCCTGAATATTGAATTTTATATATATTTCAAGAGTGAGATTAAAGACACTTAATTCTCTTCACATTCGAAAATTAAAAAAAAAATTATATCCTATTTGCAAAAAGCATAATCAAGTTTGTTGCCAAATTTTAGTCAAAGATTGCATCAATATATATTGTTCTTGTTCTTCATATATAGTATTTGTTTCTGTCTAACAAATGAAGATCTGTAGGTTGATAAAGGCTATGTATTCGTAAATTCACTATCTAGTATTGAACTAGTTGAAAATCTATAATATACGTAACGTAAATTATATGTTTTCAGTACTGGCAGTGAATTTACGAATATAATCAAAATGAGGTGAATTTTGATCCTTTTCAGATTGAATCACATTATTCGAAAACAATAATTGCGCTCGTAAATAGGATATAATTCGATGATCATGAAAGATCTTACTTTGAGTGCATTCGCGATATGTATTTGCAAGATAATGTTCGTATTCTTTTGCAGATGGAAGTATCAGAAAGTACTTACGTTTATAGTAAAGAAGAACTTACATTAAATAAATCGACATTTGTCACCATCAGTTGGGTTGTGTCACCAAGTGAAATTTATGTCTCGAAGGTAAGATGATTATAATCATTTATTCGTATAAAATTTTGCATTTTTTAAATTTTTATTTCATTATAGAAAAAAAATTTTGAAATTTTCTACTATTCTTTTGTTATTATATTTTTAATTAAATTTACACAGATTGTACGAAAAAATAGATTTTTGAAAATGATTGAGGAATTAAATGAATATTACAAAACAGAGGCTTCAGTGAAAATGATCGACGTGCCTCAAAAAGGTTAGTCTTATATGATAACAGATATTTAAGAATGAGATAATTATTTTATGGCTTAATATTTATTAATTATACACTTAATTTTATTGTTATAATGCTGATCTAAAAAATTACTTTGATGCTTCTAATTATTTAATTATTTTGAGTTGTGAAAAAGATTAAAAAGAATTTATTTCCAAAATTTGATTGTGTCTATAATTGCAATTCTAATGGTGTCATTCTTTCCAGTTTTAGAAAATTTTTAATATGAATATTTTAATTTATCAGGTTTACCATGCGCTGCGCAATTTGAAGACGATACTTGGCAACGCGGCGAGATCATGAAAATAATTGATGAAGATAAAGTCAAAGTGTTTTTTGTCGACTGGGGATGTATTTCGATTCAAGACCGTGATGCAATAAGAGAGATTCCATCTAGATATACTTTGTTTAAAGCACAAGTAAAATAGTTCTTTTTATATATAATTTTTAATAATAATTCTTTTTATATATAATTTTTAATAATATAAAATGACGTAGATTAATCATTTTCTTTTGTTTAATTCAGGCCATAAGGATAGCTCTAATGTACATATGGCCCGAAGCCAATGGAAAGTGGAAACCGGCGGCCATGAGAAGTTTGCAAGTTCTTATCAATGAAGCAGAAAATATCACAGTGAATCCACGACGAAGAACAGAGAACGGATACATTGGATGTATGTACTGTGATAATATGGATGTCAGTCGGCAGTTAAAAAATGAAGGCGTTGTTAACGAATTTCATGTGACGTGAGTGTCAGTGTTGTACTTAAAATTTGAACGTAAAAGTATTTTATACTAAAAATGTACTCTAATTTTTAATTACATCGTTCTCTCTCTCTCTCTCTCTCTCTCTCTCTCTCCATCCTTTTCAGTAACAAATTTAAGAAATTACATAAGAAGTCACGATCGCCTGTTAAATATATCCCTGCATTACCAGAGAAGACCGATAGTACTGTCCAAGATTTTTGCGACTTGGACGATACTGTGAATAATAAATCCGTAAAAGACGAAACGATTAAAGATCCGTTCAAAGTCGAAGTGCGTATACAACGGATAGTCACGCCGGACTGTATCTACGTTGCGCAAATGGAGCATGAGAAATCAAATGCGAAGATGATATCAGCGATGCAAAAGTTTTATGATAGCTATCTTTCCGAACCGCGAAATAAGTGGAACGAAGGCGCACTGTGCGCCGTGTACTCTCCAAAGGACAAGTCCTACTTCCGCGCGAAAATACTGAAGGTACAATCACCAGCAGAGGTGCTGGTCTATTTCTACGATATGGGTATCGAGGAAACGGTGACATTGAAGAATATACAAGTCCTCCATTCGAAATTCGCGAAGGAAGCGACGTATTGTTTTAAAGTGAAGTTGGCTGGTATTTTACCATGCGGCGGATCGTCCATGTGGCCATCATTATCATGCACAACTCTATCCGAAATCATACGTGATAATGCCAATTGTAAATTTTACATTACTAAACCGGTGAGTCTCTTGGATTTTTACTTTTAAAATTCATATTGTGAAAAATAGAAAAAAAAATAATATATATATATATATATATTAACTAGACTGCATACAAAATTAATTACGAATATAAACAATGACACATATGTTAAGATTCAGGAAAACATTTGCGATGGTACAATACCTGTCGAACTTTGGGTGAGACAGGCCAAAATACCAGGTCCATTAGCGCCGACTAAGATAGAGATTAATTCTATCAATCGAATGCTGGTGGATAAAGGTGTCGCTTTGCCGATTAAAAAGTAAGTAAAATCGATATTAAAAAGTAAGTAGAATAAAAAGATAAAAAGAAACTTATAAATCATATACAATGTTTGTGTGAATCAAAATCTTTAATTCAATTCAACAGCTACTTTGCAAAAGCTGACTCAATTCTCGCCGCAGAATTTAAGAGACTGCTGGAAGAAAATCCCTTGTTTGTATCAACAGAAGAAGAAGAAGTAAAGTGGCTTAACAAGGTGCTGAATGCCGATAGCGAAATAGACGAAACGTTGATATCTCATAATGACCTATCAAATTGTGATATTACTGATAGTACTGATGTTTTAACCGATTTATCTCAAAACGCCAAAACTTATGATTCGACAAATCGGGAATGCTCGGTAAAATTTTCAAACTGGCTACCACCGATCGAAATAACAGAAGAAGTATTTCTCGCTGTACCGACGTACGTGGATAACAAATGCGTCGTATATCTGCATTCTAAAAAATATAGTATGTTGCTTTGATTATTAGTAATTTACATAAAATTTTACTTCAATCTCGCATGAAATTTTGCATTGATCTGTATCTCTATATATTTATATTATTTATATTACTATAAAATACAATAGTATCGTTTACTCGAAAACTATGTTACTTTATGTATTAACTATGTTATTTGTTTATTTTTATTAGATGCCGATCTGCTTAATTATATAGAGAATGAATTGCAAATTCATTATAAGAATATTAAGATAAACAAAGAAAAACAATGGAAGGAAGGAGATTTGTGTATCGCTCGATATCATCATAATAAAAAGTGGTACAGAGGTAGAGTTGTTCAAAATTTAGGAAATATATTGCAGGTAATAAGAGATTTATGTATTATTCTTATTATTATCACAGCATCACTTGATTTATTCTGTATCTGTAGGTGGAATTTATCGATTATGGCAATATGGAAGAATGTGAGATACAGGATGTATCGGATCATGTTAGATTAGGTCATATTCCTATCCAGTGTACAAAATGCGTCATCAGCGGATTAAAACCTGTAAATGAATTTTATTACGATATCTTTGATTTATTATATAGTTTCACATTGATTCGCAATGATTTTTCTAAATTTCTCTTTCATACTACAGGCATCCGCAAATGGCAAATGGATGTTGCACGATTTGGATCGCATACATGCGCTCCTTGTTGATCAAGAATGCAAAGTGTCTATTTTACAACGACAACTCACACATTTAATTGTAGGTTAAAAAGACAGCAGCTTCAATTATAAACCTTGACTATTAAATCTTATTCTCTAGTTTGACATTTTTAATAACTATTTGTAGGTCTCAATAACGTTACTGAAACCATGGAAATGCGATCTCCTTTTATATCTTGCAAATCATATGGATATGAGTATTGAGATTAAACGTAAGGATTGGAATGATTCAGAAAATTCTGACAATGATGAAGATTTGATATCAAACTTCACCAGAGATGTTGTGATTGAAGAGATAGTAAGCGATTATGAAAAATGTATAACTGATACTTCAGATAAATCTTTGGAAACGTGTACGCAGGATTTTATGTTCGATAATAATTTGATTAGCGGTAATTTAGCAAAATCTTCGAACGCAAAGTTTGAGCAAGCCGAGAGTAAGCAAACATCTGATTCCGAAAGTGTGTCTTCGATAGACATGATCACTGTGAACAAGCATTTGATCTGTTCGACGCCGCAAGCACAATCATCTGAAGAAGAAGAGTGCTTTACCTCATATAAACGATTGATCATTCCACAAGAAACAAAATATATTGAATTAATATTATGTTGCAACAAAGACCCCATTACTTCATTTGCACGAATAGCGGAGAACAACGATGATATGTTCTCCAATGTGGGTATACACAAATTTATTAAATACATCTGACATAAAGAATCGATTTAATTCTATATTTATCTTTTAGATATTTCATGAATATTATCTACAATACGAAGCCATAATGTCGAATTTGCAAACCGATGCTTGTCACCAACCATTAATCGCGACTTTTGCAAAGAGTAAATAATCTCTTATAATATTTAATAAGATTAATAATTAATACTAAAAATTGAATTGACGTGACACAATATGATGAAATAGTTAATATTTATTATTTTCCTTAGATACTCCATGCGTTGCGAAATTTATTGATGATATGTGGTACAGATGCATCATCACGAGTAATAAAAAAATTCCGAACTCTGAGTACATAAAGATCTCATTGTATTATATTGATTTCGGTAATCATGAAGACAGAAAGTTAGATTTATTCTCCAAGTAAGACATTAATACTTATCGATATTTTTTATTATTTTTTGAATTGGGAAATGTATCATTTAAAATACATAAAAATAAAATATTCTAGAAATCATGATTTACATGTACCAAAGGAAGAATGGCTGGAATTGCCCGCCATGGCTATTAAATGCACGTTTTGGGGATTAAACTTCGTCTCTAATGATATTGGTTTATTAGCATCAAAGTTAAATGAAATATATAATCAAGCTGTTGTAGCCCGAGTTAAGGTAAACTTATTTAGAATTTTTTTAGCTTATTAGAATTTAAAGCTCATAGGAAAACGTGTTAATTATTATCGTAGGAGATCGTCGATGGAGATAGTCTGAGTGTCGAAATATATAAGGATAAAACATGCGAAGAACTTTTTTACGCTCACTTGATAAAAGAAGGTCTATATCAATTTAAGAAACCTAAAGAAGACTGAAGATTGCGAAAATTCTTTGCGAATTTAGGATTATTTTATTTAAATGATATTTAAATAATTTCAGTAAAATGAGAACGAATTCAAAATCGTAAACATTTAATTTTTTACACATAAATAAACATTCTATTTAGAAAATAAGAAAGCTATTTCAAAATTTTATTTTGTAAAGAAGTAGTATTGTAGTTGTACATCACACATTTTGATATTGTATTTAATTTCAAAAAAACATTTAAAGATTTTTACGTTACCATACGACATTGTTTCTTGTATTAGCGTTGTGTACTTTTTGCAATTTGTTCCTTTAGTACTAGAATACTTTGTCTCTGTTCAGGTGGAAGCATTGCAATCTGTTCATCTGATAACTGCAATACTTGCATTATCAAAGCCGCCTACAAAACAAAAACAAAATAAATTATAATCTATTTAGAAGTATAGTCTAATATATACTTTTGGGCTTAGAATTGATACATATTAATATTGTCTCTCCTATTCCTTATTTTGTAACAAGTCTTCTCGTAGCATTGGACAATTTCAAGGATAAAACTAGTTTGATATCGTTACAAGTTTTTGACATGTGTTTATATATATATATATATATATTTAATAGATATATAAAATTTTACTTTTTATATACATATAGTCACATGATATATAATTACATAAATTCACTTTTTGATAATAAAAAATACACACACACATACACACACACACAAAATTATTAAATTATACATAATCATAATTCTATATCTATGTATATAATTATTAAAAGTACTATTATACAAAAAAATTATGTGTGATTATATAATTGAAATAAAATAAATTTATAAAATATAAATAATACTTCCTACAATAGTAAAAAATTTTAAATAAAGTTAAACATATATCAAAGTTGATATATATAAAAAATTTCTCAGACTAGTTTTGTCCATAAGATCAATTGTCGAACATTATGAAATAAGAAGTAGAAAAAATAATACTAAAGTATAAATACTGACATATTTCTATTTCCAAACTCAAATTCTGAATACAGCACTAATTTAGAATATAGATTATATTTTTTTATATACATGAATGTATGTATGAATTTAATAGCAAATTAACTTGATCATCATGTGGATATTTATATATCTGACGAAGTTACCCGATTACATATATATAATAGTTCCTTTTGTATTTTTTATATACGAATTTTTTATATATGAACCACGATGTCAATTTTGTTAGAAATAATATACTTTTTGCAATTAATTAAACGAATTTCTCAAATAAATATATTGCAAGATAATCTTATCATAGAAAATATTTTATCGCAACATACTTTCTCTTGATCGGATGCGCCACTGGGAATATTTCCCGCTGGAGACATTCCGGCTACTAGTCTCGTGGTTGCAGAACTCGTGGGCTGCGAAAGCGCAGCGGCAGAGCCGGTTGTGTTACTAGTTACGGTACTCGATGCTGGCACGGTTGGTGCAGCAACCGGTCTTGGAACAATTGGTGGTGCGACAGGAGTTGCTACGATTAAAAAAAAACAAAATTTTAAGTCTAAATCTTATAGCATTTTTGATTGCAATGAATTTTGATCCGAATTAGTGCACTTCCTACATTTGTTTTTTTCATTCGTTCTTTTTTTAATGCTCGCACCCTATGTTCATATCTTTAGGTGCAGGAAATGAACTATGACGACATAACTCAAATCAAAATTCATTGCAATCAAAAACTCTATTAAATCTGAACCAATTCTAAAAGAAAAATTATATTTAAATTATATCAAAAAGCAATACATGTAAT